TTGTAAAGGGTAGAAGAATAAAATGAGACCAACAAAAAAAATCATTTCTAAACCATGCAAATACTACTGCAGCCCTGATTGGCTGATCCAGCAGTAGGAAAACATTCTCTTCCCAAACGAGTATTTTGTTCTCAAGAGCAACTACTTCGCTACTGTCTCTTCTCCCTTTAAAGCACTTTTTCTCCTCTACGTTTTTTGGTTTAGTTTTGTTTTAATAAGATGTGTGACTTTAGAAAAACTATTCTAATTCCCTGTACTTCAAGTTTTTCAACTGAAAATCGAGACTGGTCCTTAGCTGATAGAGTGTGAACACTGAGTTGGATTCTATACGACACACCCAGCACCTGCCAGGCCATATAGTGAAAGCACAATAAATCGTCTACCTGGGAGAACTCCCCAATTAGGAACGTTAATGATTAGGTAGCTAATGTTCTGTACTACCCTCCTGAGCACCTGCTAATCTCCCCTTAAGGAGAGTGTGTCCAGCTTTCTACGGGAAGCCACTGATACTGCAGCCAGCAAGAGGGGAGGCTGGTCGGCAGGTGCCAGAAAGCCAAGCACCGAAACCGTGAATCAGGAAGGTTTCCTGCAGCTTCCATGGCCTGTAAGGATAGGCAACGAACGGGCAGCTATCTAAATCTTGCTATAGTCAGAGTGAGTATTCAGAACATGAACCCACTCAGAAAGGGTGGGGTGCAGCATGTCAAGGATTATTTTATCACCAGGAGAGTGGAGTAGGTTGTGAGAAGGCAAATACTTGTACCAAATCTCGTGAGAGATCATTTTGAATAGGAAATATGGTGGGGAGAGGGGTTGCAGTGAAACATGCAACCCCTCTTTCCAGCTGGTTTCCTCCCAGCTTCTCCCTTATTCTCCTTCGGAGCTCTTGGATGGCTGGTATTTAAGAAGGCGTCTCTTCTAATACAAGTTTTGTAATGCCTCTGAGGCATTTTCCAACTTGGAGTCAATATTTTTTGTATACTGATGAGATACCGGGGTAAGTAATTAGCTGTGTGCAACTAGTTAAATAAGAGCTACTGCAGTACCTTGGCCTCAGGCATTAAACAAGTCTAGCCGATAAGCTGGAGATTGGCAAATGAGAGGATTGACAGGACACAAGGGGATAATGTGTCACTCACTTAGGAATTTGTTTTTCCAATGGGTAGATGGACATAGCCTGAAGGAGGTCAGATGGGTGGGCTCTTCTTGAGGTTTAATCATCGTCAGGAAAGCAGAGATTTCCAACTCTTGGAATATGCAGCAGTAAACAGAGTTCTTCCTAAACACCCCAATACCCAGTTCGGGAACATCAAGGAGAGCATTAAGACTGAGAGAAGCTTGGGGGCGCCACCTGGCAGGGCCACAACTAGCAGAGAGCTTGTGTGGATTTTTTAAAAAGATTTTATTTATTTATTTGGGGGGGGGTGGAGAGAGAGCACAGAGGGAGAGTGAGAGGAAGAAGCAAACTCCCCACTGAGCAGAGAGCCCAACTTGGGGCTGGATCCCAGGACCCTGAGAACATGAGCCGAAGGCAGACGCTTAACCAACTGAGCCACCCAGGCGCCTGAGCTTGCGTAGATTTTTAAAAGGTCTCCCTTCCTCAGGCCAGGCACAGCCGTTATCCTTGCCCCAACGTCCGGATAGGGCCGTGGGACCTGACCTGGATTCCAGCCACACTTGACCTTTGGGAATGAACGCACAAACTGCACAACACAGGCAGAGCCCTGACCTTCCACCCCCAGCCCAGATGAATGCAAGACTAGACTTTGGAGATCAATGCCTCATGGCGCAGGGACCAGATCATCTCTCCGCAGCCTCGAAAGGAAGGAACATGCCCAAGTGCAAGGTCGTGTCTGCCAGTTGCCCAAAGTGCAAGATGCATGGTGCCTTGAACGTTAGCACGTTTCCTCACCCAGAGATTCCCCACCGAGAGACACTTGTTTCTCTCCAAACTAAGAATCACCTGCTAGTAAGTGGGGCAGGGGAATAGAGGAAATATTACCAGAATCTGGAAGAGTGCCCCACTTGCCCACATGGAGACTATGATGTGTGAACCCCATGCCGCCGCCCTAGGACTATGTACTCTCCCAGCCCCTCCCCCCATAGCTTTCAAGTTCCCATGTAATGGAGGTAACAGTGCAAGAATATATAAATGTGAAGAGGATCAAAGCAGGAAAAAAATGTTTGGAAATTACAGCTTGTCCTCTGTGCCAAAACACCAGAACGTGTGAGTGGTGTCTCTCTCTGACCCCAGCAGCTTCTGCTCTTCCATTAGAGCAGGCTCCACTGACTGCCTGCAGAAGAATCTCTTGGGCCACACGTCAGAAATACATCCCCACCCTACTTCATCAGAATTCCTGGGAGCAGAGCTGGAAATCTACAATTTTTAACAAGATCCCCAGGTGACTTTTACGTATTCTAAAGTTTGTAAATGGCTAATCCGCTAGGACAGGTAGCTTGTATAGGGAGTATTTATTCATCTAATTTGTCTGCTCATGGCTTCTTTCACGTTTAGAGAGTGGAGAGTGAGTCCCTGATGTCATTTACACAGTGATCTATTAGTCTAAGCCTTGCATAATATAGTTCTGGTTGGCTAGGAGCACAGAACAAGCCATCCAGCTTCCAATGGCTGTAAATCACCCATCAAACTCACAAGGCATCACGCGGCCGGTTTTGAGGCTGCTCTAAAACCAATCATACCTCAAGCACATGCCTTATCATCTTACGTGTCGCCATAGCTATTCTGCTTCCAGCTCTTGAGATGGTGCTGAGAAGGAGCTGTTGTTGAAAAGAAGAGGGAGTTGAGGGGAGGGATCACATGAGTCAGTCAAATGGTCCCATTGCCAGGGCAGTCCACTTCCTAGCTGCATTCAGAACCTCCTTTCAGTGCCCGGGGGGCCACGTGAAGACACAAGGTCCTAAGGGCCTCGGGTCCCACCAGGAAGGACACCTCCAGTAAAGCAGCCAGGCTGTATTAGTGTTTTGTGACTACTGTAGCCAATTACAGCAAACTCCAGGTTCTCCCCAGCTTCCTTTTAACCCTTGCCTTTTCTCAAAGCTAAAGGAAAGGAAATCAACTGTACCTACAATGGGAAGAAAATTAACCTCCCTGTCATCACTCTCTGAGTTTAATTTCATACAAATACTACATGCCAGTGACAACTCGTCGGGGGTGTTGCCTTTTATTCATCGAGGAAAAACCTCACGAAAGTTTCGCATGCATTTCGGCCCCTATTATAAAGAATCTTACAGTGTCGTGAACTCACTAAGCATTAAAATGTAAATTGAGGGGAAGAGAAAGTATTAAAAAAATAGCTTCGGGGGAGAAACAGGAGGTCAGTCTGAAGTTCAGAGTCAAAGGAATTGCTGGGGAATAGAAAATAAGGCTAGCAGGAGCTCGGGCTGGAATCTACTGGAAGGTAGGAAAAATTAGATGCCTGCTCTGCCAGCTACAGTCCTGCCTGGAGCGGGTTTTTTTGGCTTCCCTAAGTGGAGCAGGTTTTAGCATGTGTCCAAATTTCTGTGGTAGGCACTGGTACAGAATCACACATGACCTCAAGTCGCTGTCCTCTGCCTCGGGCTCAGAAGGATAACCGTCTACCCCTGAGTGTTCCTCACTTTTATTTTATGAATTTATTTAAATTATAACAGTAATAAATGTTCAACAGATTGTCCCAAAATTCGAACCACGAAGATACATGTGAAGAATGGGGGTCACCTCATCCGCCCCTGCCCCATTCTACGTTCTCTCCTCCAAAAATAACCACCGCATGGTATGGATCCTTCTTGACTTTTCTCCACTCACAGGTGTATGTCATTTTTTGTTGTTCTCATGAGTTTGCTTTTATACTCCTTATATCCTGGATACCCTTCCACATAAGCATAGACAGTTCAATCACATTTTTAAATGGCTTCATCATACTCCTTAGGAACGGCTGTGCTGTAATTTAACTTTTTTGTGGATGGATATTTACTTGGTTTCATTTTTTAATTTTTTTAAGATAGTATTTATTTATTTACGTGAGAGAGAATGAGAGAATGGATGGTGGGGAGGGGCAGAGGGAGAGAGAGAGAGGGTGAAGCAGACTCCCCACTGAGCAGGGAGCCTGATGCTCAGGCTCGATCCCAGGACCCCGAGATCATGACCTGAGCCAAAGGCAGACGTTTAACCAACTGAGCCACCCAGGCGCCCCTTGGTTTTTAATTTTTAAACAGTTCTGGAACAAATGCCATTGTACACATATCCTTGCACACTTACATGGTTATTTCTATAAGGTGAAATTTCTGGGTAAATTTTAATAAATGCTGCTAGCTTACATGCCTACCAACAGCAAACTGGAGTTCCATTTTGTCTATACTTCCAAAGACACTGGATATTAAAATATTTATAATTTATCTCTATCTGATGACATGAAAATAGTATCTAAAGGTTCATTTGATTTGCTTTTACCTGATCAGGTACAAGATTGAGCATCTTCTCATATTTTACCATAACATTTCCTTTAAAGGCTATTAGAGTCCTGAGGATTCTCTGGGAAATGGCTATGGGCACCAACAGCTCACAACTGCCTAGGATTAATCTGGAACGTAGCAAGCTAAGCTTCTGGGAAGGCGGGACAGTACCACCTTCAGACTCCTGATTAGGCAGCGTCCTATCTACCCCCAGGCTTCCTCCTTTCTCTGTGAACTAACAAGAGGCCTATGGGGAACACATCAATCGTTATCCTACAAGCCATCAAGGTTGGGTAATAGACTTCTCTAACTTCTTCCACCTTCTGGAAGTATAATGGGCAGCAATCCCTGAAAAGCCCCAAAATGGCAGGCAGGAAAGAAAGAATATGGATTTTAGAGTCAGTCAGAACTACATCCTCCACTTAATAAATTCATGATCTTGGATCAAATCATTCAACCTTTCTGCGAAGAGTACTCCCAAGCTTGCCGCAAAAATAAAATCGAGTATATGGAATATTAAATGCTCAATGAATGTGAGAATCCTTTACCTGTTCTCATCTGCTCTGTCTGGGCCTCTTGAATGTCTGGGGTCTCTCTTCCCACAAGGCACCAAAGCCAGCTAGCAGTCTTGCTCTCTGCTTCAGTCGTGGCCTGGGGCTTGCTTCTTAGTCTCTGTCTAGCCAGCTGATGACACTGAAGGCTGGGTTTTGTCCTTGCTCTTCTTCCTAACATTTCAAGAGATTTTCTTAAAGAACACTGCTCTTCTTCATTGTCCCATCATCTCACCCCTAGAATTTAAAAGCCTCATCCCCTTCCTCAGGATTTCAAAGCCTATGTGACACTAGACCAGAATTGCCTCTTCCAAGCTGGGATTTGGACTTGACCTTCTATTCCGTACCCTCTCCCCCTCATAATTCAGTCTCCACTTATATGTCTGTGTCCCCACCTTCCAATTTTAGCTCTTGCTCCCACTCTACCAAAGTTTTCTGTTGCTAGAGCAATACGGCATCAGAAGGCAGTTGAACAGGCCCCCAGGAGCCCATGCTGATGGCTTATCCAGGTTCTAGCAAATGATGCTAAAGAAGAGAAGGAAGTAAAATTGCCCCAAGCGAAAGGCATGTCTCTCATTCCTGTTTCCCTTTTCCACCAACTGGCTTTTATACAGCCACTCATGGTGCAAGAAGCTCTGCCTTCTCCCCAAACTAGAATAATTGATCCATCTACAGAGATAAATCTCTGACAAAGCCAACTGGATAACGTGGCACATAACATCCCATTCTGGAAGCAATGCACAGGAGTGGAAAGGAAAACAATTGCCACTAACATTTCACAGGTTTGAGATCAAGTTAAAACCTTAAAGAACTAATCAAAGCTTTTACCTTTTTATAATTGCATCTGGTCCCGTTTTGTTCTTTAATTAATTTATTTATTTAAGAGAGAGAACAAGATAGATAGCACTAGCGGTGGGAGGCGGGGGAGAAGCAGGCTCCCCACTGAGCAGGGAGCCCAACTCGGGGCTCAATCCCAGGACCCTGGGATCATGACCTGAGCCGAAGGCAGACGCTTAACTGACTGAGCCACCCAAGCGCCCCTGGTCCTGCTTTTTTTATCAAGTTATACCTAAGTATTTTTGTGAAACATGAATATCTGATTGCCAAAACAGCCAAGAGATGATGTTAAGCATTCTGCTTTTATTAACACATCTTCTGTGGGGATCTGCTACTTAGTTTTATTATTAAGACCATCGGTGTGTGTATTAGATAATTGTAATAATAAGGAATGAAAAATTTTATATATTTTACACAGCTGCTGTCTGTATTATTTAGGATATTAATTCAGCTGTTGCAAAGGAGGCCAAGTCACAATGGCTGAAGACAAGATAGAAGGTTCTAACTCTTGTTAAAGTTCCATCTGATACGTTCAGCAGGGAGAAGCTCTACTCCACAAGGTCATCCAGGGACCAAGGCTCCTTCAATCTTATTTTTCTGTTTTTCCTTAGAGTGTTGTTCTTGTCCTCATGGTCAAAACCAGCTCACCCACTACTGCATCCATGCATTAGCCTTTGGAAAGGAGGAAAGAGGACATGGAGGGCAAACCACTTTCTTTTAGGAACATGATCTTTTAGGAACATCATTTTTGCTCATAAACCTTTGGCCAGAGCTTGCTTATGTGGCCACACCTTGCCAAGGGAAACTGGGAAATGTAATTGTAATTATAAATAGTACTGCAATTAACATCTAGTATATTAATCTTTATTTGCTTTTCTAGTAATTTCCTTGGGACTTATTCCTACAGGTAGGATTGTTTTACTTAAAAGATGTACCAATTAACTATCTTCTCAGCAGCAAATGAGAGGGGTCAAATTTATGTCACTATCACTAGCAATAATTTGGTCTTTTTTTTTTTAATCTTTGCAAATTTGACTGATTGAAAATGGTATCTAATTGCAATTTTAAATTTCATCCCTTTAGTGTGTTTATTTCATTACTTGTGAATTTTAATAAGTTCCAAATGTCTATCAACTGCTTGTATTTCTTCTCATAAGAATTTTTCTTTGCTCATATATTGTCTCAGGTTATTTTTCCATCTGTAAAACAAGATAATAATAATATTTACATAACATAGTGTGGTAATGATCAAACTCTGTTCCTCCTACCCCATTTGTTCTGTTTCTTCTGGACAAGTCCTGTGGCATTGGGTCCAGTCTATGTTGGGGCCACAGTGGATTGGTCTGAGAAGCCCCATTCATTCTGCCTCACCTCCCCATCTTATTTTGTTCACAGCACTGATAATTATCAAAAATTATGCTTTTCGGGATGCCTGGGTGGCTCAGTCGGTTAAGCGGCTGCCTTCGGCCCAGGTCATGATCCCAGGGTCCTGGGATCGAGTCCCATATCGGACTCCTTGCTCAGTAGGGAACCTGCTTCTCCCTCTCTCTCCCTCTGCTTGTGCTCTGTCAAATAAATAAAATCTTTTAAAAAAAAAATTATGCTTTTCAATAGTTTGCTTATTCTTGTCCCTCTCCCTCTACCTACTCCCCAATCTTCCCTAGTAGAACCAGACGCCAGTTTCTCTTTCTTACTGGTATTTCTCTGCCACCAAAACAGCATCTGGCATATCTAGTAGATACTCAATAAATCCTCGCTGGATAAATACATGAACCTCCTTCTCTCACTGCCAGTCTTTTGACTGTGTTAAATACTTAGGCACAGTCTACAATTACCTCTTTTCCAAAGACAAGTAAGTCATAGAGTCCCCGCATGCCCTCTCCTGCATCTATACACACTCACTCACGCTTCCAGCTCTTGTATCTGCCTCAGTCTGTCGTGTTTACAATCTCAACTCAGCACATCACCACCAATTACACCCTAACATGTCACTGTGCTGTCTGACATATCTGGCACAGTTTCTTCTAAGACCTCTAGTCTCTAATCAAGAATGAAGAGGGAAGAAAGGAAAGAGGAGGAGAGCCCTGATCTGGGTGCCTAGAAAATACTGTCCTCATGTGGAAAGGAATGTGGTTGCCTGACTTTCTGGCTGGAATGCCTGAGCTAGGGACAGGCTGTACGGTAACAGAGAACTGTTTGCTATCTTCTGCCAGATGATGTGTACTTTTCCTAGGCACAGGTTGGAGCAAATAGAATCCACGACTGTGGGCGCCTGGGTGGCTCAGTTGGTTGGGCGGCTGCCTTTGGCTCAGGTCATGATCCTGGAGTCCCTGGGTCGAGTCCCGCATCAGGCTCCCTGCTCGGCAGGGAGTCTGCTTCTCCCTCTGACCCTCCCCCCTCTCATGTGCTCTCTCTCATTCTCTCTCTCTCAAATAAATAAATAAAATCTTTAAAAAAAAAAAAAAAGAATCCACGACTGTGCTTCTCACTCCAACACCACGGACGTGGCAGTTTGTGAAAATCCTCCCAGAGTCCTGCATATTATCTTCCTGTACCCCACTTATAAGGAATATAAATTTTATTTATTTGTTTAAAGATTTTATTTATTTATTTATTTGAGAGAGAGAGAGAGAGGACAAGCTGGGGGTAGGGGCAGAGGAAGAAGGAGAAGCAGACTCCCCACTGAGCAGGGAGCCCGATGCAGGGCTTGATCCCAGGACCCCGAGATCATAACCTAAGCTGAAGGCAGATGCTTAACTGACTGAGTCACCCAGGCACCCCTGTACAATTTTTTTAAGGCACTGGTACATTTTCAAAGGGACTTTCATGGAATGGTAGCGGAGGAAAGATAAGGTACCTCTAGAATGCCTCTATCTCCATTTTTTTTTTAAAGATTTTATTTATTTATTTGACAGAGAGAGACACAGCGAGAGCAGGAACACAAGCAGGGGGAGTGGGAGAGGGAGAAGCAGGCTTCCCGCGGAGCAGGGAGCCCGATGCGGGGCTCGATCCCAGGACCCCAGGATCATGACCTGAGCCGAAGGCAGACGCTTAACGACTGAGCCACCCAGGCGCCCTGCCTCTGTCTCCATATTAAACTGAAAACCTGGCTAATGTCAAATTTTAAATCTATTTTCTTTAACATGAAGTAAAAGACAGGTATTGGACATTTTTTGGGACATTTTGTCCTATTTTACTTTAGTTGTCTCAGAATTATGAGTGCTTCAAATACATCCTAATATTTTAAAATTAATTCCACTTTAATTAACATACTATTATGGTCTATGGTTACAAGAGTAACCATTTTTAAGACCCAATAATTAATTAAATTTCAGAACGTATTTGACAAATTAAAAAGGAGGGAGGACATATCAACTGTGTTTGGAACTTGGGCTGAATATTCTCTAATGACAATATGAGCTGCCTTTCTGAAGCATTTAGGGAAAGCATACCCCCAGTTCTCCAGTTGCTTAGCCTCTCTCGACGTCTGTGACTCTTCCTACATCCAGTCAGCGTCCTTTGTGAATTGACTGGAAGTCCTCTGTAGTAAGCCTACTTCAAAATTATATCCTGACCACCCGCAAGCCCAGATCTTCCTATCTGGAAACAAGGGGGAACTGCTCTCTTTCTCTTGTGGTCTTTAAAAGACTCTACTGACTCATGAAAACACCTGTCTGTTACTTTAGAGTTACAGGAACGACATTTTTTCCTGGTCTGGAGATTCCCTGGTGAGAGCATGAGAATTGGCCAGATAACCAAATCCCCCACTGTGTCCCATCATGGTCTCATGTCCCACACACCTATCTGTTCGAGGGGGCTGTCTGTTGTGGCCGATGTCAGCACGCCTGGAAGTGACGTTCCTTCAGTCTCTTCCAGATCCAGCCTGGGCTCAACATCTGCGGAACGGGAATATTGTAGCCTGAAAATAACTAGGTGGGGAAGGAGATTTACGATGATAAAAAGGTACTGACGTGGCAAGCTAACCAAAATATCCGCGTCAGGGATATGATGAGAAACTGTGGCTCTCTCCAAGTGCTCTTGTCCTGTTCTTGTCTGAGGGCTGGCCTCTCATCCCACTCCCATGACGGTCCTTAACATTAACTCCTTCACGTTCCTCACAAACTGATGAGCTCATACTTCATGCCAGGATATTCCTGGTTAGGAAAACATTAGGAACTTGCATGTCTGTGAAATTAGAACTTATATAAAACCTAACTTGTTCAGGGGAGCATGAGAACAGTCCAGGGCTAACTTGGTCCTAATAAAACCAATCTTTATTACCACAGAACCCTCTGCAGTACACAAATGCAGTTGCTCGAAAGGAATAAAATCACAAG